AATTTGCAGCTATCACACAAGCAAAAAAATAAAATAAAAATAAAAAATATAAAAAAGAAATTTATATGAAAATGAATAAATAAAAAATAAAGCAAAAACCTTTCAACACTCAACTTCGCAACAGTATTGTCAGTTCATTTGTATTGCCGTACGGTGGGGGGTGGAAGTATGTTTCTGTGTGCGCTTCCATCGTTGTTCAGCGTTTGCTTATTAAAATTTAACCACCAAATTAGCAAATTAACTGGCACTTGGATGAATTCACACACCCGCAAATAAACAGCACTAAAGTGCTTGACTTTTTTCTTTTCTTTTTTATCTTATGCCTGAGCAGTGAGTCGATCCAATCTGCGTGTGCTCAGTGCAAATGGGGTGGGTGATATTACTCGTCTTAGTAAGGAGTATGAATAAGGAGTGATTTGGTTTTCAAAGTAGCAGGGATTATTATAAGCTTTCATGTATTTTGCAAAATGTCTCGTCAGTTTTTTGATGGGCGTATGTGTATATGAGCCTTTAAAATAACAATATCAAGTAGAAGGGGAAGTCCTGTTGCTTTGTGGCACGGTTTAGATAATTTTAAGGGCAACAAGTATTTACTTTTCCTGGTTTGGAAAAATAACTTTTAATTTTTAGGAGAAAACAAATAATAGAATGCACGTATTTATTTTATAAGCACATACATATGTTATTAAAATTCCTGAAATATAAATATATATGTGAATAATAATTCGAAAATATACGTATATATAAGAAATGAAGCAATTTAATCTCATCTTTACATGCTAAAAATTTTAGTGGTTATTTTTGATTAATATCTTGTATGCACTGATAGAAACTTTTAAGACCTTTTTTTTATTGAAAAAATATATATTCAATGTTTATTCATTTATTATTTTAGTAAAATAATTCTCATAATAAACATGTCATTGACAAAGAAAGCTAGCAGAAAGAGTTTATGTCGCTAATTTTGCGAAAAATATATGAATAAATTGTTTTTAAGAAAGTAATAACATTATAGTAAATGCAGTGCAAGCAATCAAAAACTAAAAAATAGGTATATAAGATTATACCCATAATTTATGATGACTTAAAATAAAACCGAGAAAAATACCATATAAAATAGAAAGTATAAAAGAAAATAAAATATAAAATAAAATAAAATAAAATAAAGTAAAAAATTAAAACAAATTAAAATTAAATTTACAAATAAAA